ATTTGCATTTTAGAATATTGTGTAAATAATAAGAAAAATAAATATATTTTATTTTATTTAATGATAATCTTCTTTTATTGCCTTTTTTTTTTTTACTTTAAATTCAGACCGAAAATGGTCCGGATATACTTTTGATGTCACGACAATATGGCAGCAAATATTTCAGGATTTACATTTGAGTCCTTTTTATACGGACCGTAATCGGTCCGTATATACTTTTGATAGCACGACAATATGGCAGCATATATTTCAGGATTTACATCTGAGTCCTTTTTATACGAACAGTTATCAGTCTGGATATACTTTTGATGGCACGACAATATGGCAGCATATATTTCAAAATTTACATCTGAGTCCTTTTTATACGGACCGAAAACAGTCTGGATATACTTTCGATGTCACAACAATATAGCAGCAAATATTTCAAAATTTACATATGAGTCCAATATATTCAGATCGTTATTGGTCCGAATACACTTTCGATGTCACAACAATATGACAACAAATATTTCACAATTTACATCTGAGTCCAATATATTTAGCCGTTATCGGTCTGAATATAGTTTTCATTGCCATTCAAGCACGCAAATTTTTCATTGTTACAAAAAGTTTGTATATATTTAGACCGATATCGGTCTAAATATATTTTTTGTAATTATTTTTCCTGATTATTCAGATCATTTGCAGTCTGTAATTATTAAATTATTTATTATATTCTTAATATCCAAACCGTTAACAGTCTGTAAATTTCAATTTGATACTCACCCCCTAAATTTCTTTTATCAAAGTATACAGTCCGGTTTCGATGTGAATAGTTTAATTTACGGACTGATTTTTTGTCGGTCTATATATTTTATTTTTTCATACCAGGTTTTTTTGGTTCAACTATACGGACTAATATCAGTCTTGATATATTTTTTTAGACCAATTTTTGGGTTATATGAACCAAATTTTTTATCTGAATATTGATCCCCTGCAGCAATGAAATTAGCTCGTCATCGAACACATGATGTAGACAAACAAAATATGTTGTATACGCTTTCATTCTTCTTAACCAAACTCCAGTACAAAGAGCAACAATTCCTAACACATACTATTTATTACGTCCAATTCCCTTAAAATCTTAGCTATCTTTTCCACCGAGCGTCCTCTTCTATCCAATCTCTTTTTCATGTCTTGATGCATGATTCATTCTATGCACTACCAACCCTTTAAACCTCACCCTATTCAAGTCTTTAATATGCATGCATACAATCATTGGTTTTGGATTCCAATGCTTCTTCATGCTACTTATGCAACTGTATTATGAGATAATGACTTATGACAATATTACAATATTATAAGTGCAAAGGGTCTCGCCCCTATGCGATAGATATGTCAAAGCAATCATATTAAGATCAAAGCCATTCACTTAAATTATCAACACACAAATGGCCACAAACCCACATGCAAGCAAGCAAACAAAGTTATATCAAAATGTGAGTCCAATTACAAAATATTTCACCAAGCAGCTAAG